CTTGGGTGCTAAGCATTTGCACAACTGTGCGGTTTAAGTGTCCACTATCAATTTGCAAGGGGACCTCACAAGGAACCACCTCCTAGGCTCTACTCATGTGACCTCATAGGCTCCACCCATGCACCCCACCAGCTTCCAGTGATGGGACAGGTTAACGGACTGGGCCAAATGGGGAGGCCCAATGGGCTTAATTAGTTGCATGGGACACAGATTCCCCATTGCTGTCTTAAAGACTAAAATATATTATACAGGGGAGCTGTAAAGCTGGTGTGGGGAACCTGTAGCCATAAGGCTGATTTTATATGGCCTGTAAATATGAAGGCAATGAGAAAGATTGTGCTATACAATCCTGCACTGTTGTGAAATCTGCCCACTTTTGTTTCCCGCTCCACCCACCATCAGTTGTGGTCCCCACTTACTTTTTCTATAGGCCAACAGCCCTTGCTAGGGGGAAAGAAGAAGAAGAAAATCCACGCCTGATTCAAAGAGGGAAACATAGAGAGAATGCCAATAAAGGGCAGTGGAATGCAAAAGGTTTTGCTTTCAAGCCCCTACTGCTGTGTTGCTAGTCTACTCCCCTGACCCCACCCCCACTTGTTCCTCGTAAAAGCGCATGAAAAATTCAAGGACTGAGAATTCAAGGACTGAGAAAAATTCAAGATGAGCTCGGCTAGTCTTTCTGCTGGTGGCAATGACTCTCACTGATTCTAAGCATCATTTCCTAATTCTTGAAACATTAATGCTGTTTACTGCTGTCAATCAAAGCTACTTCAGTCTTGTGAAGGCAGCCTGCCTACACTATGCAAGCTGGGTAATGTTGCCAACTAATCGGCAGTGACGGCAGCAGTAATAGACTAATTCCCTTCTCCACCAGCTTGCTATGTCCCTCCAACCTTCTGACCTAGGGCCTAGTCATTTATTAGTAGCATGGAAGTCTGTTTTCCTAATTTGAAAAACATTGTATTTCTGAATTTGTATACATTGCCCCTCACTGTGATTTTCAGATACTTTGTACTCATTGCTCTGATAAACTGGTCATTGTATCAGAACGGAAACTCAGTAGCACGTGAAACTATGCAAAATATATAACGACAGGACAGCGAAGTGCTGGCACCATCAAAACGGCGAAGCTGACTTTATCTTATTACACACCACCCCAGTCTCCAAGAAGTGATAGAGTCTAGGGGTGTCTTTGCTTTACCAAGGATTTGGCTTCCTTGAAATGAATGTGTGTCTTTATGAATGTGTGGTGTCTTTAGGAAATATAATTTTATTTATATGCAATCTGGGCATGAGGCTGGAGAGTCTCACAGCATTAAGACTCCAAAAGATCTTGCTTCCCCTCTCAGTTTCCAGGGGAACCCTAAGTCCAGCTTTGGATTCAGCACAAAGCAAGACATGTCTCTGTGTCTCCCAGCTTCTAGCTCATACCCACAGCAATTCTGGCTCCAGATGGATGAGGGAAAGGCCCATCTGTTTGTTTTTTCTATGGCACACAGTAACTTTTTAGGATATAACAAAAAAAAAATCCTTCCAGTAGCACCTTAAAGACCAACTAAGTTAGTTCTTGGTATGAGCTTTCGTGTGCATGCACACTTCTTCAGATACACTGAAACAGAAGTTGCCAGATCCTCCTATATAGTGAGAAGGTGGGGAGGGGTATTACTCAGAAGGGTGGTGGGAATGGGTGATTGGCAGATAGCTGTGACGAGCCTGTTGACGACTCTTAACGACTGCAATAGGTCCTACAGGAAAAAGCAAGGGGTGAGAAGGTGAAAAATGGCTTTGTCATGTATAATGAGATAAGAATCCAATGTCTTTGTTCAGACCAGGTCTCTCCATGGTTTTAAGTTTGGTAATGAGTTGCAATTCAGCAGCTTCTCTTTCCAGTCTATTTCTGAATATGTTAAAATCATGGTACTTAACTAGCCAGCCAAAGCCATTACCTTGACAAAGGAACTGGTTGGCAAGTTCCCCTTACACATTCTACCTGCACAGATTCAGGATCCCAAGGACTGGGAGGGATCCAAGGTATCATCCAGACTGAGCCCCAAACTCATAACAATACGCATGCGATGGGGATCCAACTGAGTGCCACACTTTTGGAAAAGCAATAATTACGCTATTCTTATTAATGTAGTTTTTCAACCTCGGTTATGAGCTGGTCTGTTATGTCTCCTTAAACATGCTAAACACTTACATTTCACAAACGTTCAGTCTCTGAATGCTGGTTGCAGGGGGTCACAAGCTGGGAGAGTACTGTTGCCGTATAGTTCTGTAAGTCCTTACAGCCCTGTGACTAAGGTGCAAGCCAATTCATGGATATTGACTACACATGCATGGATGAACAATACGAGTGCCAAGCACAATGCTTTACAACTTTACTGTTGGCGTTTGCTTATGTTTTTGCAACACTGATGTCATTTATGAATAGTTCCATGCTCTGTTGGTGACATTTAGTACTTGCAGCAATTGTCACAATAATGCCAAATTCCTAAATCTCATTAAAGACTGCAGCTGTGAACATCTGGGATAGACCTGAGGCTCTGTGCATTCTCCTATTTGTCAATCTCATAATAAAATGCAAAAGACATAATTATTGTATTTAACAGTGCACAGTATGAAAAAGGCCTGAACAATGATGCCATGCTAGAATTTTTCAAAAATTTTTATAGAAAACTGGAGCTACATGCCTTTTGGGGAAAGAGGACTGATGTGGCACAGCAGCTAAGACAGCTACAATTAGGAGGTTTAAATCCTACCTCCACCATGAATTCATTAGCAACTCCTCCTCAGTCTCCCATCTGCAGAACTATAGTAATACCTGCAGGGTTATTGTTATCTTTACAAGATAACATTTGAAGTGCTTTGAACACTCAGTCACTATGCTCAATCACAATGCAAATTGTAGGAGTCCATTAGCTCCCCACAGTTATAATTCACATATATTGAGTACATTATATATTGTTCTTTAATCAGTGTCCCTAATTGTAGTACAACTACTATTAATGTCATGGTCTGTTCCTGAAGCTGGGTCTAAACCAGGGGTTAGCAAACTTTTTCAGCAGGGGGCCAGTTCACTGTCCCTCAGACCTTGGGGGGGGGCAGACTATATTTTTTTGGGGGGGATGAATGAATTCCTATGCCCCACAAATAACCCAGAGATGCATTTTAAATAAAAGCACACATTCTACTCATGTAAAAACATGTTGATTCCTGGATCATCCGTGGGCCAGATTTAGAAGGCAATTGGGCCGGATCCGGCCCCCGATCCTTAGTTTGCCTATCCATGGTCTGAATTATGACCACACTCTGCTAAGAGTTGCATTATCACACACTTCTAAATGGAACTTGTGAAGGAGAATTAACTGCTGGACTGTAGATAATGTAGTTATGGATGCTGCTATAGGAAATCAAGCAGCATTATTAACTCTTAGGACTAGCTCAGTTGGTTAGAGCATGGCGCTCATAACACCAAGGTCGCAGGTTTGATTCCCATAAGGGACAACTGTATATTCCTGCCATGCAGGGACTGGACCAGATGATCATCAGGGTCCCTTCCAACTCTATGATTCCCCAGTCCAGAGAGCTTTATGGGTGGTTTATAAGATGCACCCATGGAAGCAATTCAGCAACAGAATGTAGGTGAGGCTGGTGTAAGTTGACACAAGAACATAAGATGAGCCAGCTGGATCAATGGCCTATCTAGTCCAGCATCCTGTTCTCACAGTGGCCAACCAGACACCTGCAGGAAGCCCCAAAGCAGAACTTGGTCACAACAACACTACTCACCTGTGATTCCTGCAACTGGTATCAAGGTACACGCTGCCTCCGATAATGGAAGTGGAACATGTACATTGTGGCTAGTAGCTGTTGATTGTCTTTAAACAGACAACCTTGCTTCATTGGTACAAGATCGATTTATCACAGTTCTACCCCACCTTTCCCCAAGGGGGAGCACACAGCTCTCTTCCATCCAGGGGTGCCAACTTGAATAAAATATTGGGAGGACCCAGGTAAGCACCCTGCCCCACATAATCAGTCACAAGACTGTGCACACACACTATTTGAATGGCAATGCCCATCTACTGGGAGGGCATGCCTCCCTCAAATATTTTATTGGGGGGCCCCAAAGGGACCTTGGCCCCTAGGAGTTGGCTCCTATGTTTCTGCCCCATTGTACCCTCACAGCAACCTTGTGAGGGAGGTTAGGCTTGAGAGACTGACTGTCCCAAGGTCACCCAGTAAGTTTCATGGCTGACAGGGCTTTGAAAACTGGTCTCCCAGGTCCTAGTCCAACACTCCCAACCACTATACCACACTGCCTTGATCTGCAAACATTGGCCTAAAGCAGAGGAAACTGAACTGTGGCTCTTCAGGTGGTGTTGGACTCCAAATCCCATCAGCTCCAGCCAGTGCTGACAAGGAGCAGGCATGATGGGAGTTGGGATTATCTTGAGTCCCACATGTTAAGCAACCCTGCCCTAAAGCGACTGAGGATAAATGATGCTGGAAGGAAAGGTAATCAAAACTTTTCCCCACATTTAGATACCCCCTCCACTTACAAACCTGACTTGGAAGGCCCAGATGTATGGTTGTGGCTGCTTTCACAGCAATCTCTCATAGAACTGTAGAGTTGGAAGGGACTTCAAGGGTCATCTAGTCCAACCCTCTGCAATGCAGGAACCTCAACACATGGTCCCCTGAAACCAAACCTGACCCAGCTTAGCTTTGCACAGGTGTTAGCAGTTTTATTGCTGCACCACTATGTATCCGCTTTATTCTCCTCTGCACTCACTTCTAAAGTATTAAGCTTCTGTATCTCCATGAGGACTACAAACTTGTTCTTTTAAAATTAAAGAACCCCAACATTTCCCTTAATTTTAGACGGGGGGGGGGAATCGTTGGGGTGTGTCGGAATGCAGTGGAGGTCAAACGCCCGTCTCCCTCCTCCCTGGAAGTAGGAGACCCGCCTCCTTCCCTCTGGCTCGGCCACTCACCCCCCAGCCAGTTGCTGGAGATGTTCTGCAGCATGGTGAAGGGGACGCAGAAGAAAGCGATGAGCAGGTCGCTGAGGGCCAGCGAGCAGATGAAGATGTTGGTGACGGTGCGCATGGCTTTGCGGCGGCTGACCACGTAGAGCACCAGGCCGTTGCCGAAGAGCGCCAGGGCGAAGATGAGCACGCAGGTGAGCACGAAGGCCAGCTTGGCGCGCCGCGGCAGCTCCGGGATGTAGACCAGCGGCTGCAGCCCGTAGAGCGCGATGAACTGCTCGCGGGTCACGTTGTTGTCGCGCAGCAGCTGCGCGAACTGCTCCGGGGTGATGTTCAGGGAGCGCATCGCGGCGACGGGGCGGGTCAGACGGCGATCCTCTGCAGCATGGCCGAACCAAGCGGGCGCTCCTGGCGGGAGGCTTAGAAAACCAGGGAATTTTCTTTAAAATATAAAATTCGTGGAGGGGACACTTCTCAGTCTTGCTCGACGGCGCCCACAGCCAAGGACTGCAGCAAGATCCGCGCCTCAACTCGCCTTTTATTCATTGTCCAGACGTCTCCACGAGGATCTGTCCTTCGTCTGAGAAAGGCAGCCGAAACGAAGAGCAAACGGGTGGCGCTTAATCGAGGGTGTGAAAGTTTTGAGAGCGAGACGCGCCCGTCCACCCGCCGCGCGCGCCGCAACCTTCCCGTCTAGAAGAAGGCGAGGAAGGAGCGAAAAGTCGAGCTTGGGAAAAGCAGCGAAGGGCTCCTATTGGAGACTTCCTCCGAGCCTCTAGCCAATCGGTGAGCAGAAAGAGCATCTTCTCGGCCTCCCGTCCTTCAAAGTTTCCCGGAGCGCCGGGGCTCGTCGGGGATTGGCTGGCGCTTGTTGGGGAGTCGCTGGAGGGGCGCAGCTGACGCTTCCTGGGGCGGAGAGGGGCGCTTGGAACGCGGCTCCGGGCGGGCGCAGCGAGGCTGCAAAGCAGCTGGAGGACTGACCTCGCGGAGATCGGAGAGCGAGGGGAGCGCTGCGTGCTCAGAACTGAGGCTATGGAGCGGCACAGGGCAAGACTCTGGAGCCTTGGAGGTCCAGGACGCCAGTCTGTCAAATAAGCCGCAGAAGGATCCCCAGGCGCAGGCGGACGTGCTCTGCTTTGCTCCCCGCCGAAGCAAATGAAGGATTAGCTGTAATAAATTAACGATGGGTCCCTGTGAGACCATTGCTTCCGGAATCTAATATAACCAACTGCCTAAATTTATGTCTTCCCATGAATTACATTGATCTGGAGCCGGAGGGTTAGAATTTTTATTTTTCGTTTAGTTTGCTAGGTTTTAAAACAGCTTAAGGCAGCCTTTCTCAACCTGGGGGTCCCCATATGTTGTTAGACTACAACTCCCATCACCCCTAGCTAGCAAGGCCAGACCTCAGGGGTGGTGGGAGTTGTAGTCCAACAACATCTGGGGACCCACATGTTGAGAACCACTGGCTTAAGGGATATTTGCACATCAGTCTGAAACTTCTTTAGGTTACAGCTTGACCTTAGGGATGTACAGCTTGGAAGGGAGGTCCCCCTGTCCTCAGTGGGGTTTGGTCCCAAAGTGAGTGTACAACTTTAAAGAGAGCCAACACCAGGTGTGGGGCAGCCCTCAGGAAAGTGGTGGGGCCACAAGGTGCCATGAGAAGGCTGATGACACCCAGCTTTATTTCACCATCTGATGAGATGGCTGAGGGGAAATAAACTGAGTTTGAATCTTGGCAGGATGGAGCTACTAGGGGTTGCTGGTTCTGGTGCTTGAGAATTGGACAGTTGACTGTCCTGAATGCAGATGCACTCCCATTTCATTTTAAAAATTACATTTATATACTGCCTTTCACCCAACAAGCCCATAAAAACACAATTTGACCAACATGGTATTAATAAACAATATCCCCAAACTCATTTAAAAGGCTATGGATGGTTCAGTCAGCCAAAGGCCTGGCTGTAGAGCAACATTTTAATCTGGCGCCTAAAGATATGTAATGAAAGTGCCAGGTGAGAATCCCTAAGAAGAGCATTACACAAAGGGAGCCACCACAAAAAAGGCCCATTCTCATGTTGCCATCCTATGGACCTCTCATGGAGGTGGGAACATGAAGAAAGGCCTCAAATGATGCTTGCAAGGTCCAGATTAAGGGAAAGATGGACTTTGAGGTATTATGATCCTGAGTCATTTAAGCACTTTGAATTGGGCCCAGAAACTAATTAGCAGCCAGTGCTGTCAGGCCAGGATTAGTGTAATGTGCTCAAACTGTCTTGTCCCAGTGAAAGAGTGGGTACATAATCTAGGGGCAGCTTTTGAATCCAGCTTTGTCACTGAAAGCCTGGGTACCCTCAGCTAAGAGTACCCTTTACCAACTCTTGCTGGTACAATATTGATGGAGTAGGAGAGTTTTGCCACAGTAGTCCAGGCACAGTAACTTCAGTATGTTGGTGTTTAGTATGTATATTGCAGTGGAGCCCATATATCAATAGTCTGCAAAGATTGTAGGCTGAAAGAAAAACAAAAATTAAGGTTTACTCCCAACTAGGGATGGGAGAGAAATTCAGTTCAGCTCGCATTTAAATATGAATTTATCAATTCACACTTACCAAAATAATTTGAGAAATGAAACACAGCCATTCTTCAAAATATGCACTTAGCCAAACTAAATGCTCTCCAATCTACCAATGTTTACAAAAATGTACATATTGGGGTGGGGGGGATGTGTATTAAAATGAATATACTGGCAAAAATAGCATACAAAAATGGCATTATATGAGGAGAAATTGCTTGGGGGGAAAAATAGGATTTTTTTTCATGAAAGTGCTGAAGGGTTTTTATAAGGATTATAATATAAAAAAGTGAAGAACCAGTGGTTGTTTTTCAGCTGGAACTCTCAGGTGGGCACCATTGCCATTGTAAGAGAACAAGGGAGGCATTCACGGTGAGTTCTGACACCTCTTTTTCTAAAAAAATATAGCACTGAATTTAAGATTGGGGAAATTGGCAAACTGAAATTGACAGATCCTTCAATCTCTGCTCCCAACACAGGACTGGATTACTGCAATGCAATCTGTGTGAATCCTCCCTTGCTCTTGTCTGGAAGTTGTAATTGGTTCAGAATGCTGCAACACAATTGTCGACAAGGGTGAGTGTGCATAGAAATGAGCCTCCTCCACAAAGGAGAAGTTTACATTTGTTTCTCTGCCCACTTTTTCCTTTGGCCCCATCCACCAGTGGCCCTTTGAAGGGGACGTGGTCCCTGAGCTGCAAAAAAATAATGCACATATAATGACAGTTCCACCCACAAGCTAGACTCCAGCTTTGCAGCAGTGAAACAACACAAGCACGGAACTCATAAAATCATTACAATTCATCCTTGTGCTAAATGAGTTGTGTAAATCTGCCCTTAGGCTCAAACTGCCCGAAAGTTAATTCCCTTTAATGTTTTATTCATCTTAGCATTTTGTGAAAAGGGTCTCTGTTACAATCATTGACACCTTCAGGGAGGGCTGAGAAAGACTCCTTTCTGAAACCTTGGAAAGCTCGCTCTTGTCGGTGCAGACAATACTGAGCTAGAAGGACAAATGACCAGATTCAGTGAAGGACTCTTCCCATGCATGAGGAGGTTTTCAGTGGTACAGGATAACCCTCACTTCCCCTGCCAATGCACAGAGCAGCTATGCTCTCCACATATTCAGCTAGTGGGTGAAGTCTCTACCTTTGCCATAACACCAACATCTCTGCACCCTGTGTCCTTGAACTGTGGTGATGGATCTTGCTTGCTTGTGGTGAAAACCTGTATTTTGCATGACTAGAATGTAGCCTACTGTACAAAGTTAAGAGTCACATCCATTGCCTCCCCCACTTTTGTCCCTGGTAGCAGGTGATCCTTGGAAGGTCTTCTGTGAGGACTTCAGGAGGAACAAGATTTTCCCATTCCTGTTGTGCACAAACTAATGTTGGAGTGGAAGATTAGTTCTGGAGCCAAGACAGAGCACAAGTGAACTGGATAAATGAGAGGCAAGAATTGCTGGAGATGGTTGAAGTTCAGGAATATCAATAAATCAATCTTTATTACGGTCCAGAGACCCAACAAATCGTTACAAAGCAATGCACAATTCAGACAGCCTATCTCCAGGTTAAACAAGCATTTTGTTCAGACTTAAAGATAGGGATCATTGGTTCTTGCAACCACCGATAAAAACTTCGCCACTGCTAATGTTCTAGCGTTTGTCCGGTCTTCCGGCAGGAACCTGATATAGTGAGCCTCTGGTTTTCCTGGGAAAGGTACCAGCAAGGGTAATATCAGTTCAGCCCTGGCTTGCTTGTATTTCGCACAGTGCAGCAAAATATGTTTTATAGAATTGATGTCTTGAGCACACGAGCAAAGTCTGTCCTGGTAGGGAACTTCTCTCAACCTGCCACCCAACGCTGCAGAAGGAAAGACGTTTAGTCTGGCTTTGGTGAATAACCTTCGATAATTTGGTACTGTCAGGTTTTTAATGTAAGGTGTTAACTTAAAGACATGCCCATATTGTACTCCTACTGCCAACGGACTACAGACTGCGTGTGATCGAGATCGCAAGTCACTGTGTGTATTATCCCATAATCTTTGCTTTAATGTCTTTAAGGCGCCTTCATAACCCAGGTAATAGAAGTTAACATCGTGGACCTAGATCAAGGAGACCTTGGTTCAAATGGCCATTTAGCACTGAAGCTCACTGGGTGGCCTTAAACCAATCATTCTCTCTCAGAGTAGCCTACCTCAGTGTTTCCCAACCTTGGGCCTCCAGCTGTTTTTGGACTACAACTCCCATCATCCCTAGCTAGCAAGACCAGTGGTCAGGGATGATGGGAATTGTAGTTCAAAAACAGCTGGAGGCCCAAGGTTGGGAAACACTGGCCTACCTCACAGGGCGAGGGTAGGAGGATTAGGATTTGTGAGCCAATGTAAGAGCTGGGGCTTGAAGCATTCCTTCAGCAAAACATCCATTTGAAACTGTTCCCAAAATGATACTTCAGGCACAATGCTTCCATATTCACTGCATATTTAAAAATAGCCACCCTTTGTTTCCAAAAATGGCACTTCTGCTTCAAGGCCGAACATTTTCTGTGGTTTGCAATTAGGATTACGACAGGCTTCCTCAACCTCGGCCCTCCAGATGTTTTTGGCCTACAACTCCCATGATCCCTAGCTAGCAGGACCAGTCGCCAGGGATGGTGGGAATTGTAGTCTCAAAACATCTGGAAGGCCGAGGTTCAGGAAGCCTGGATTAGGAGGCAAGGTGCTGAATTTTGGATACAATGGAGAGATAAATGATCTGGATTCTTATAAAAGATGCAGGAGGAAATGATTAACAGTAGGACCCACAAAGGGGAGGAGGGAAGTCCAAGAGATTCCTTGGAAGCTAGCTTTTCTGTTGGATATGTGGCTGTAAAATTTCAATCTGAAAAACCAAATAAATAAATAAAAATTAAAAGGAGGCAAGGTGCTGACCAGTCTTCATTATACTGTGTTTGTTAATTGTGACTGCATGTAATGTTTAGCTTGCTTGCAAAGATTCAGATGACTTGCAAAGCCATTTTTGACAAGCTCCTGGTAGCAGCACTATTTAACTTGCAAAGGAAACATGGCCATGTAAGAAATTTGCTTTAGTATTTTGTAATCATTTTTAAAAACCTTTTCTGGGCACATAAGCTGTCCCCTACCTGCATCCCTACAGCTTTAATCTTTACAGCCCAGGTTTTTCAACGGTTGCTTGATTTGCAGGGCAGCTGTCCTTGTCCTGATGTTACAATTTCAGCACTTAAAAAAACCCCAAACCTATTCATACTCAGAATGGTTTTTAGTTCCAATGAATCTGTTAAATTGTTGCTGCCTTTGAATCTGATCATCCCATAATAACTCTTTTTCAGATATTTGTTCCTTTCTAGGAACAAAAATAAAGAAGTTTAAGGGCAAGTTATTGATTTCTTTCCACAAATGACCCTATGCCCACACTGTTCCATAAGAAGCAAGCAATTCTATTTCTTTAAAACCCAGCAGTTTCCAAG